ACAGCCGGACGATCAGGGCACAAAGCGCATCTTAAACTATTCAGGCTCAAGTGCTTATGAAAGCTGTCCATTGCCGCTGCGGCACCTTGCTCGGCTTGAATCTTACAGCTCAAGACCTTGGCTTGTTCTTTGATCTCGGGTTCCATGCAGTGCCGAATTGCGCCCGCAAGCTTATCAGCTGTCAATAGTTTGAAGGGGATTGGCGCAGGCCCCGCACCATTGGAGGCAACAAGCATTCCCCAGAAAGGCTGATCACCGAAGAATGGCACAATGACAGTGGGCCGGCCCAGGGCTAACCCGGTTGCTGTCGTTCCTGCACCACCATGATGGACAACGCATGACACTCGGGAGAACAGCCAGTCGTGCGGACAATTGCCTAGGAAGTACACATTCGGGTCATCAGCCTCATCAGCACCGATATTACCCCAACCTTTGGAGACTACTGCCCGCTGACCGGACATTCGAACGGCTTCGAGAATAGTCTGCGTGAGTGCTTCCGGGTCATCGACAACAATTGATCCAAACCCGATGTAGATCGGTGGTGTTCCAGCTTCAAGAAATTCGACTAGATCTTGAGGCGGCTCATGCTTGTCATCATGCGGCACAAAGCAGAACCCAACCACATCGATATGGTCAAGCCAATCGTCAGGCTTCGGCAAGAGGTAAGGAGACCTAAACATCCCGTTTAACTCGAGCTCCCAACGAATATTTATCCTTCAATTGTACGTACCAAAGATATGTGAAAGGTATTCTCAGCCGAGAAAGAAGGCTAGGCGCACGCATAGAATCCAGCCGCTCCAGTCCTAACTCATGCCGGCGGAATTCGTTGATCAAGTCACCCACGCCCTGCCATATCACTGTTTCCGCTATCATGTACGACATCAGCTTGCCTACTGACGATTTAGTATTTGTCGAGCGAACTTTCGCCAGTGGATGTGAAAAGGCCTGCGTGGGCGACCATGGCATCCTGTGCTCTATGTAAGCGTTTATCGATAAGACACCCACCACCATAGAACAACCCACGTAAACATCAAATGAAGAGGAATCCCCATCTTCTCCGCACAGTGAATGTGTGCGAAGCTCGGGGGGTTGGCGATGATAGCATCTGCGACGAATGGCGGCGCACCGGTACACTCAGCCGGGTTAAAGGGGTGAATGCCTTCGCCGGGCTCAAAACACGACCGCCAGCAGCCACCAAGGATTTCTCGCACATCCTTCCGCCGTCGGCTGATATCCCCCTGCGTGATCGCTTCCACCTTGGGCACCAGGTTGGGGTTCTTGACCATGAACGACATAAGCTGCGCCGGGTCCCCGCCAATGTTGAAGAACTCCAAGTCATGAGCGCGCACAAAATCTCGGAATACTAGGTGCGTGGCTAATCGGACGCGATGACCGTGTCTCTGTAGTTCCTGTCCAAGCGCAATGAAAGGTTGCACATCCCCGCGAGACCCCACGACGTGTATGACCACATTCAACCGGAGCGGAAACCGCGTCATGCTGTCTTCTGGCATCCAGGGACGATGATGCTCAGCCTGGCGCCGGAGGACATCGAGGAAGCCCGCAAGCCGGGGACAGTTCTCTTGTAGGTCGACGAGCAGGCGTCCATCATCTAAGAACCATTCATAAAATTAGCGACCGTACCCATGATTGATGTTCGAAGTCGAAAGTGATACCTGTAACCGCACTCTCTGCTAGAAGACCCGGAATGAGGGCCTTGAGCGCCTTCGCCTCGCATAATTGAGGATTGATCGTCTCCGTCATGACTGAAAGTTGCTGATCTGGGAGCCTGGGATGGGATGGGTTGAGTATCTCATGTCCGGACAAACAAGGTCACCATGCTTGTCCAACAGTCCTCGCTTGACTTTATCCTAGCATTGTTCAGACAGCAGATGTGCATGACAAATTGCTTATCAGGATTCCTGGCTCCGTGGCGTCAGTCGTGTTCGATCTCGATCTGGGCCGATCTGGGAGTCTCGTGCAGTGGCCGAACCACGGTTCGTGCACTGTTTCCGACATGTTGATATATAATCATGTCCTAAGATCCTTGGTTGTCAACTTGTCAGCACGGGGATCCCCAGACAACACCCACGCACGACGTCATCTTCTGTTCAAGCTGATGGGTACTGGATGAGTTGAGATTCAGAAAGAGGCCTGGGTCAAGCTGTGAGCTCCGGGGAGACATGCCCAGCCGCAAGCGGTAAGAACAAAACAGGCGCCCGCGGGCAGCAAATCCATTGGATAATGAGTTCCGCGCTATTCAACAGTGCAATAAATCCCATTCATTTCAGACCGAGTCAGGTAGCGGTTTCTATACAGTTTCCCCTGCGGGAGAGGCAGCCGTTCATTGCAGGCATACTACCTACTAATCCATTCCATCTAAAAGCCTCTATTCAACTCTGACCCTAGTCACTGGCCCCCGATATTGATGCTTCGCATATAGCATATAATAGCCCACAGCCAAGAGCACCACCCCCGAGAAAATCACAATACTCCAATTCATGTCCGCAGCATCGGGGTGGTTGGTGAGAGGGAAGAAACTAATTGTTAGAATCAGAACCAGCACAAGGATTGAGACGGTGTCGATGAACGGCGTGGCGCGCCCAAGACTCCACCGTGCCGGAGGGAGATAATCGCCTCTCCATCGCCGGAGACGCACACACGAGATCGAAATTAGGTAGGAGGAAAGTAAGGCAGCCGTGCCTAGTGACATAATGGCATTGAAGGCGACCGCGGAACCAATGTTGATGAGGGAGAGGAGGGTCACAATAACCATGCTGACGCATAGGGCGTTGAGAGGTACTTTGAGGGTCGGGTGAATCTGATTTTCATACATTAATCTTTGGACTTTGGCGTTGTCACACTGTTCCAGCATCAAACAAATATTGATTCGGGTAGGCAAAGGATGCTGTACCTTTGAGAAGAATCCAGCAAACGGCAGGCCTTGGTCACGCGCGAATGCGTAAATTTGTCGCGAGGTCGTAGCAACGTTGCTGATGGCAGCACAGAACTGCATGATCATGATAACGACCGTCATCCCGGTGGCTGCGCGGGTCGAGCCAGTGGCGTTCCAGAAGACCTGGATGAAGGCGAATCCGGTCTGACTGGCCATGACCTCTTCAATGTTACCGAGACAGAAGGCAAAGGTGATGATCATGATAAAGCCAGTGGTCCCGTTCAGAATCAAGGTGCTAACCATGCTTACGGGGAGGACGCGGGAGGCATCTCGGATTTCTTCGGCTGGTGAGGTTTTAGTATTTGACAAGGAAACTAGATGCAGTTCCAGATCCTGGTAAGGGGCGGGGGCCACGGCTAAGGAACTTACACATGTGCACAGCAGAGTCGGGGCCTAGATGACACGATTGAATCAGTATGAAGAAGGAGGTAGCCAAGTAAGACATCGACATACCGATAAGGGCGTAGATTGGGCCTGTCAGCCCTACCAAGCACGCAAGCCCCATATTACCCCACGATCCATTGTCCTCAAACGAGCCAAAGACCTCCGACGCAGGGGCCGTGGGCGACAACACCCACAGCGGAATCAAGATGCCGAAAAAGCCAAAGCAATGCACGACCAGAATGATACCCTCGATGAAAGACAGTTTCTGGGCAAAAAGTGTGTTGAACAACAGTGCCCCTAGAGCTGCAGCAATCACGATCAGCGTTACGTGCCACGGTTGATAGACATAACTGTCAGGGTAGTTGATCGCGAGTAAGCCGACCAACATGTTGGCGACAGTGTAGCAGCAGCCTGCGATTCCCGTATGCCAGCCCAAGACGCACACCCAACCGGTGAGATAGCTGAGAAAGCGCTGTTTACTGGGGGGTGCGAACTCCGAAACCCAATGATACTGTCCGCCAGATGTCGGGGCCCTGAAGTGGTCAGCGACTATATGCATCCACCTGTATTGAATCACTTACATGGAGGCCATTTCAGCCATCGATAAAATCACGAAGCTGAAGCCTATTACTGCCCCGAGATAGGTATAAATCATTCCTGCCTTCCCTCCATCTGTGAGGCCGTACGAAGCACCGCTGTCCGACCCAATTAGTCAAAGGTGCAGTACATGCTGCTCGGCAAACGTACAACAAGACGGCTTCCCAGGTACACATCAAAACTGCACTGAACCCGACAACGGAAAGAAGTCGAAAGTTTCGCTGATCAAGTTAGATCCCATTCACAGGCTGTATTGACCAAGGTGGTATGCTCACGTTCAATTCCTGTTCTCTGCCTACACGCCACATGTCCTTTCGATCTTGTACCGTGCCATCTTTTCTCGTAGTCGTGGAACTCTCATATTCGCCAGGGGATGAGTACGTAGAAAACCCCGGTGCCTTCTCCGTGGTAGTCGACATTATGGCTGAATGCGCGGGTGAGAGTACTTAAGCCGAGGGAAGACTGCAGAGAAGAGCGCACAATTCTCGAAGAAGGGGATCCCCTCTACTTAACGTGATCGTCATAGCACGGAGTGTCCATGGGCCGGCAGGTCTGGACATTTCATTGACGGGTAAGATTAATATACTGAAGTGGTCCATCAGCAGCTAAAAGCTAGGGTTGGGAACAATTGATTGTGTGACCTCCGCGGGCCAATTTCCCAAAGTGCTTATCCCGCAGTATCCCTGCAAATGCAACGGCACTTATGCACACTAAAATCCCCGTCGTTATGTAGATTGACTGTGCCACGAAGTTCGCTGCAGGAGGGCACTGCTCAGCACGTTTCTGTAGATGGCATACTTAATTACTTATATCCATCCCTGTTAGTCCGGTTTTAGATCAGACAATGGGGAGACGCACCCCGGTCTGCGCGAATTTTTCCTTGGCTATGTTCGACCGACTCCAGTAGACAAGGATCAAAGAGGTTTGAAACTGTTGTCGAATAGGGGAGGTGTCAATCTCTGATTTTATTAAACATGGGCCAGTTGCCAATTGACAGTAAGGTCTCTCGCTGCTCTCAAGCACAATCACCTTGCCACTGCGACAGCAGAAGTATGGATCAGTCGATATGCCACAAGCAGCCTATGCGATCTCCGACACGGACCGTCGTGGTCTGGTGGTGGTTGTCGCCACTCTTTTCATGTCTTGGATGGTCCTGGTCAGCCTCTTTCGCATCTACATGCGCTTGACTATCATAGGGCCGTGGGGACTGGACGATCTGATGGCTATATTTGGTGCTGTGAGTACTGAGCCATGCGCCAGATATCTGGATAACGCGACAGATCTGAAATATACTGAGACCTGAGTATGTGGATAGATGATGGGGATCGCTGATGTCGGGGTAACGATGAAAGGTGTCAACGATGGATTGGGAAGCACAGAGAACCACCAAAGGGTGTCTCAAATCAACCTCGCTGAACAGGTATACTCCACTTGATGGAACAAGACTGAGCATTGTGCGCCGGCTTGACTGACTCGTCTAGGATTTATATGCTACAAATCTTCTGTTCCTGGCTGGCCATTGTGCAGCCAAACTGTCGGTTCTCTTTCTCTTGCAACGTCTGGGAAGAGAAAGATCATATCTGAGGGCATGCGTGGGAGTGATGGCGGGCATTGTACTATGGGCGGTGGTATCGATCATGATCGTCTCTTTGAAATGTCCATTTCGTCACCCGTGGCTCATCGACCAATGTGCGAACATTGTAAGTCCTCGCTCGGTTTGTGAATGGCTTCCAAGCTGACGACAATCCTAGCTCGCTCGCTGGCAAGCGATTACCGTTCTAGATGTCATAACCGAACTTTCGTTGCTTATCCTCAGTTTGTATCTTGTCTGGCCGATCCGCTTGACACGAATGCGGAAGGCTGGTGTTATTGGCGCGTTTGGGACGAGAATCGGGTAGGGCGTCTGCTCTTTCAAAAGTCCCCTGCCTCGATGAAAGTCAGCTTCTGATCTCTGGATGCCTAGAATTGTCATCCTTTCTATTGTGCGGCAAACCACGCTAAACACCATTGCACATACCAACGACCTCCTTCTCGACATCTCCGACGCAGTCATCCTGACTCAGGTCCTCTTGCATTGCAGTATCATGGCAGCGACATTGCCCTGTCTCAAACCGTTCGTTGTGGCGTTCAATACTGGTTGGGGTCAAGGCACAATTGGACAAGATGGTAGTAGCTATTACCATCAGCCCAGCACGGCATCAGCGACCGTGGAAAGGTCTCATGCTACTTCGAAAGGAGGGTCGGAAGCCTCGCGGCAAAAGAATTGGGACAGAACGGCTGTGGAAGACTCGAGTCATCGAGACTCTCAAGAGTGGATCATTCAGGAGACCCGAGAATGGTCGTTGCGGTATGAGACGATCGAGATGAAGCCAGTGGATTCGAAAAGATAGACGAAGAAGGGTGCTCGGAGTATGTATTGTCTGGTACGACGGGCCACCACGGAAAATCTCGTAATTAATGCCTAATGTGGTATGTCGACCAGCTATCTTACTAGCGGTAACATTCGTAAGATATACTCTTTGCAGCCAACGTACAGTGCCTGGCTTCGTCTCACAGCCGAAAGAATCAGCAGCTGGCTGAGTTGTGATTATTAGACCATGATCTCCTTAATAAGATATTTGGGCTGTGACGAGGGCTTTTCTGAATAGCTGTTCAACGCTCGTGGCTTGCGCCGAAACCTTCACCCCAAGTACCCTACGATATGTTCCTCTCTCGAAGATCTATAGCAGGTAAGACGTGCGATAAGCGACGACTCTCGAATCCGATTTCTAACATATTCCACTTCTCAAGGAAGCTTGCAGCTTCTGCACAGCACGAGAGTTACGCCATTCCAATACCAAAGACCGATAGACAAGCGACCTCACTCGTCTCTGACGGCCAGTGGAAGTCCCCGAAAAGAAGTCGCCCTTGCGACGCACGATCAAGACCAAAGCTCCATTCAATATGCCCTGTCAGTACTCTCACAAACCTTCATTTCCTCTCCGCCAGCCCCGTCTGACTGAGATGCGTCCAGGACCACCCTGGACCAGGTAGCCAACTGGGCTCTTCAGGGCTCCTTGTGGCCCATGACCTTCGGCCTGGCGTGCTGTGCCGTGGAAATGATGCATGCGGCCGGTCCTCGCTACGATATAGAACGCCTGGGAATGCTATTTAGGGCCTCCCCTCGACAGGCGGATCTTCTGATCGTCGCCGGCACGCTGACGAACAAGATGGCGCCAGCGTTCCGACAGGTATACGATCAAATGCCCGAACCACGATTTGTGATCAGTATGGGAAGCTGCGCGAATGGGGGTGGGTATTATCACTATAGTTACTCCGTGGTCCGAGGCTGCGATCGGATTGTTCCAGTGGATGTATATGTACCAGGATGTGAGTGCTATCCTCCGCGGGCTAGAGCTTCCATGAAGGGCTTGCCGATGACTGATGACTCTATAGGTCCGCCAACGGCCGAAGCGTTGCTGTATGGGATTTCCCTGGTGCAAAAGAAAATTCGGCATAGAAAATTGACTCGGATGTGGTATAGGCGCTGAGTCGCGTTAGGTCCTTGTTTTGAAGATGTGTAGTTGGTTTTAGAATGACAGATTGTTCCTAAAGTAAAGAAAAACTTAGTCATCACAGGACCAGGTTTGACTTCTTGCGGGGGAGCGAATTCTTTTCGTCACCAATTCTCCTCTTGCAAATCATCACCATACCAATCCAAACCTCATTAATAAGTAGGTCTCGTAAAGCATAGTGTCCTCATGGGTGGCCAGAAGAGGGAACAGAAGAAAAAGTCGCACCACGGTTGTCTGCGATGCAAACAGCGAAGTGTCAAGGCAGGTTAAAAGCGGACCAGCCCTGGTGTCTGAAGATAAGGTAGCCTCTGCTTACTGTTCCATGATCATGCCGTATAGTGCGACGAAAAGCGGCCTGATTGCTCCAATTGCATTAAGCGACAAGAGATCTGCCACTATGCTGCCTCAGGGCCCTGGCTCTGGACACAGCCATCCATTCATGTAGCCCATGCAAACCGTACAGCATCGGCATCAACCCGGGGCCCGGCGCTGCATCGACAACCCCCAAACCCTATGAGCAGACCGGCAAAGGGCACTCATCAAGACCCTCTCCTGATGACAACAATCCCCCCATCATTCCCACCCATCAAGACCTCACCTCATCACCACCCCCTCTTGCTCAACTGGACCACCTCCACCTGCCACTCCATCGCCCGCACGCCGATCGACGGCCGGATCTGGCAAACCGTGATCCCACAACAAGCCCTCAGATGCCCGCAGCTCTTCCACGGCCTCCTCGCCGTCTCCTCCCTCCACCTCGCCCTGCAGCAGTCCACCTTAGCACCTAGCCAAGACCACCAGAAAAGCAGCCTGATAACAGCGGCAGAACACCACCAAAGCGCCGCGATCACTCTCCTCACCCAAGCCCTCCCCATCAGCACCGACACCGACAAAACCACCACCTTCGCCCTCTCCTGCCTACTAGTAGGCTTCGCATTTGCGTTCCCCCTAGCAGTCACACAAGACCATCGCCAAAACGCCCTCGATGACCTCCTCAACATCTTCACCCACATCCACAAAATGATGGCCTTCTCCACGCCGACCATACCGCACCTCCGCACAAGCGAGATGGGGGATCTTCTCCACCTCGATCATGACGACAACACCAACACCCTCAAGAACCATCTCCCCCCAAACTTATCCCCCTCCTCCCGTCAAGCAATCACAATCATCCTCCAGCACCTCAACCACTCCCTGACCCGCTCCTCCACCTCCTCCTCTAGAGAATACTCCTCTGGAGAACACCTGATCTACCTCACAACCATCACCCACCTCGGCCACCTCCTCGCAGAGCACGACGACACCGACCCCACCACCCCTAAAGATCTCGTCTCCGCCAGCTTCCTCTGGATCTGCTCCTTACCCACCGGGTTCCTCGACCTCCTGCGGCACCGCAGACCGCTGGCGCTGGTCATTCTAGCGCATTACTGCGTAGTGCTGCATGCGCTGCGGCACCGGTGGTGGATTGCCGGGTGGGGGCGACAGGTGTTGCAGACGGTGTGTGACATCCTCAAGGCCGAGGGGGAGGAGGAAGAGTGGAAGGTGGCGTTGAGGTGGGTTTGGGGAGAGATTGAGGGGGAATGAGTTGTACTATATTATAAGCAAAGCTTACTCACAGCTAGGGATTCGGGTAGTAGTGTTGTTCTTCAGTGAGCCATAAGAAGCACCATATAATCTTATACACATGCATGCTGCTAATAGCGACAATAACCCCCCCCCTTCCCAACCAAAAATACCAGCGGTCCATCACTAGGAAGAATCCACCCCCTCAGCCCGCAAAACCACCACCCCCTCCACCGCCCGCAGCTCCTCAACTGCTTTCCCAGAGAGCCTGAACCCGAAGTCAAGAAATAAGCAATCTCTGCCAAAACCGACAATTCCCTCCTTTTCCCCACCTTCCATAAACTTAACGATTTCCAGGGTGAAACTTACGTCAAGAAGTGAGTCGGGGGGATATTCCGCGTGCTCGCCCAGATGTCGGAGCCGGTGTCTGCTTGGATGATCCTGTAGTCGGTTGGTGTTGATCGATGTGACACAGCGATAAGGGGTTTCCAGCACAGGCTGGTACTTATACCATACTTCTTCACCTGATCGCGGGTCTCCTCCGTGCCGAATCCCATGTCGTCGGCGTAGCGGAATTGGACGGACTGGTGGGGGAGTTTAGTATGCTGTCACGGGTGCAAGAATCCTCAGCGACGAGAGGTGAGGGTCGGTTGCTTACCATGCTTTGGGTGGACATCGCGAATGCGGATTCTGTGGGGCTGTTGGTGGGGTTTGAATAATGTGCTATGTAGATAGTCTTTTTGCGAGGTGCGGTTGAGGTTTCCAATTGCTGCTGGTGGTGGTGGTGGTTGTTCCGAGGCTAAAAGTGACAAATACGATGATCAGCGTGGTAATTACCGCTTGTGGAACCCACGCTACGTATCATCCATGATGGGTATTCTCATTATGTACATAATCGGCGTGTACTCTGTCTCGCAGTCGATCGAAAGAGATCTAGTATATCACTCTGATATCGGCGATCTGCCCGTCGAATAAGGTGGCCAACAAGTTGTCCAGCAATACTATGGGATATCCTCTCAATTCTCGATGCAGCCCCGATCTAATATCCAATTCCTACTCGCGCACAGACAATTCATATCCCCCACGGCTGAATGCCTAGAATGCGTATACACGTCAAACAACATAAAGTACATATATATGTGCAGAGCTATCTCATAGCTAGATTGTCATCTCATCATATCATCCATCTATACATAATGACATCCATCCTTCCCTCAAACATGCAATTTCGGTTCGCCAAGTCCAACTCAAAATGCACTAGCCCAATTGTATAGCACCAAGCTAAGCGCCGATCTGTCTCCTTCTCATGCCAACTTGCAGCCCAAGAGGCTTACGCAGGAAGCCCTCGCGGCTCTCCATGGGTCCATCCTGCTGCATCTCGAACTCGAACAAGCGGAACACGGTACCGCAGATAGTGAGAAGCTCCATTTCAGCAACGTTGCGACCAACGCAGGCACGGGGACCGGTGCTGAAGGGAATGAACGCGGCCTTCTGGCGGGCGGTGAGACGGGCAGGGTCCCAACGCTCGGGGACAAAGTCGTCGGCGTCAGGGCCCCAGATCTCCTTGGAGTGGTGGATAGTGTAGCTCGGCACAGAGACAATGTCGCCGGGGTAGAAGGTGTGGCCGGAGATAGTGACGGGAGGGTTGCCAGCGGGAATTTCACGGGGAAGACCCATCGCCGAGGTGCTGTGGATACGCATGGTCTCCCAGATGACCCATTGCAAGCTGTGCGGTAGTTAGAACCTGTAAACGACAACGATAAGAGGGAGGAAACGTACTAAGGAATCTCCTTGACCATAGCGTGAGTAGGCACCTCGATGTCCTTGGGAATAGCCTCATCGAGAACCTTGTGGAGCTTCTCAATCACACCAGGGGTGCGCATGCACCAGTATAGGATAGCACAGGAGGTGTTGGAGGTAGTATCGGAACCGGCAATCAATTGGGTCAGGGCCTCAGCAGTCAATTCTTCGCGACCAAGCTTGTTACCATTCCCGTCCTTTCCTTCCATAAGACGAGCAAGGAGATCCACACGAGTGTTGTTGGCCATCACCTCGGGACGCAGACGCTCGTTGACTCGAGCGACAGCAATACCAGCCAGGTTCTCAATGGCTTCCATACCATCCCTGAAAAAGCGGTCGGGAATGTACTTGGCAAACGGCTTCAGCGCGGGGTAACAGCCGAGGGTGGCGGAGACTTCACCACGACGGTTGAGCACCTCAACAGCCTGGACATAGGAAGGAGGAGAATCCGGAGTCTTGCGCATCTCAGCGATATCCTGCTCCTTCTCAAGCATACCAAAGGGAGCACCGAAAGCAAGATCTCCGATGATATCGAAAGCCAGATAGTTGAACCAGTTGAGAGCATCGAGACTGGCATAGCCGGTGCGGGGGTCGCGCCGGGTGTTGGCCATGTTCGTCCACTTCTTAACGAAAAGCTCAATGTTGCCGTGGATGTACTGCTCGAACTGGCCAATAGACTTCATACTGAAGGTGTGCGAGACGGTCTTGCGCTTGCGGGTGTGCTCCGCACGGTCGCGAGTGTTGAACAGACCGCGACGGATGGAAACAAAAGCATCGTAAAAGTCCCTGTATTACTTGCGTGAGTCGGATCCCATAAAAATATATTTCAGAGAACATACGCCTTCAAGAAACCATTTCCGTGACCGTAAACAGCCTGGATCGCGTTGTCATCGGCGATGGAGACATGGCGGGGCGCGATGCGGACGAGTTTGCCATAGCGTTTGTGGGCATCATCGACAACGAGAAAACGGGATCCGCGACGGGTTTGGAGGAGGAGCCAGAAGTTGGAGAAGGCAGCGAAACCAGGAGATGGAATATCACGTAGACGCCAGACTTGTAAGTAGGGGAGGAGATAGTAGATGGCCACCAAGCCCAAGAAAAGGTAAGGGGTGGCCTGCAGCGAGAGCAGGTCGGCAATCATGGCGGCCGACCGGTCTGATTGGATATTCGACGAAAATCCGGGGTAATAGAGTAATAGAGTAGTGAACTGAGGGGGGGTGGGCTGACAGTTAGTCTGATTGCTACGTAGCAGGGAAGAATTGTGGAATGTGAGGGAGGAATGACAGCCGATCTCAACTGCCGAAGGAACGGAATGGGAATCCCTTGCCGGAATTCCCAGCATTTACTTGGGCACACGCTCACTTACCTCGCGAAGACTCCCGGTATTGTCCCTAATCGAGAGAATCGAAAGACAAAATCTTATAGAATAAGCATCAAAGAATCAAAGACAAAAAGGAAGGTTGACAGATGATAGATAGAGGGTTGACCGAAGGGTCTGGGATTTAAAAGGGAAAGGAGGCACAACTTTCCCCGAGGCTATCAAAACCAGCCGGGAGATAAATCGGGATTGACAGCCCGGACTCGACTACTGTGGCTGGCACTGGCTGCCTCTCCCCAGCCGATCTCCAACCCCGACTCTACATTTCCTCCCCGCTTAACTCTCGGGTATCACGGTTATTCCTTTGTGGGGGAACAGGATCAGCCCCGTTGAATGTCGATCCAGGGATAGATTGAAGTCTATTTCATGCATTTGGGATGCACAAACCAGTCAGAATTGAGATGAACGTCAGTCTCCCAAGAGGGCTCTACCAATGAGATCGAGCTCGTTGCATATTGCTTCATTGGGACTTCGTGTCCTATGTCCATGAGTTTGGAAACCTCCTACTACTAAGGTATGTATGTACAAGTCCGGAGTCCAATGAGATTATGTACAGTAATGCCATCCTGCGTCACCACCGCTCGCCTTTGACCTGGTACAGACCACTCTTCCGTTTCTCCGCCTCCCATCGCTCAGCCCACGCCTTCATGCGCTCACGACTCTTCTGACTGCCCACATTCACGGTCGGGATGACCCGTCCGATCCGAAGGGCGCAGCAGAACATGGTCAGTTCCCGGAACGAGCTGTGCTCGCTGTACGGCACCCCAAAACAGGCACTTTCCCGCGTGCTGCCCCGTTGGGGCACGAGGTCGCGTGCCGAAAACGGTGTCTGCCAATGTGCCGAATGAAGCACCGTCGACACAGGAGGGTTATCCAGCATACGTCCCGCGGGCGGTCGGTACGTCCAGCCGGTCGGTCGAAAGCCCACTACTTTCGTGAAGTGCGGCTTCAACGTGTCCAAATAGTCAGCCAGCGTCTCCGCTCGAATCTCAAACAAGGTCTGCATATGCACCTGTGCCTCGCGTGGGTTATCCGTCAACAGCGCTGACAGCTCTGGGTCCTCCAGGCAGGCGCAGATCCGCTGTTTGGCCGGGGTGGCGAAAATTTTGCTCTTCAGAGCGCGCGCGATTCCCAGACAGATACGCTCTTTCCCAATGCTATAGGTCCCGATCACCACCAGCAATCGGCCACTTGAGCTTGATGTCGAAGACTGCGACCCCGAAGAGCCAGTCACTTTGGAAACGAACTTGCTCATCAACCCTCCCCCGACCCCGGGCGAGCGACCTGATGAGCCGAAAGCAAGCCCGTTACTTTTCTGCTGCCCCTCGTTCAGCTCCACGCAAAGATCGGCACAAGCCTGTATGACATCTTCCTGGCTTGGAAAGGCGTATTTGGGGCTCAAATACGTGGTGTCTAGGTAGCAAGCATCTATGTGTTGCTGACGACGCTGACCTGTGGTGGGATCGACAACCTCCGGGCGCAAGAGTGCATGCTGCACATGGAGCGGCGAGGCGCGAAAATCTCCGCAATGAAGCACCCGATGCGTTCGTTTCGATGGGCCAGATCCCATGGTCTTTTCAAAAAGAAAGATGGCACTTCCTGGACAATGGTTCGCTTCGATGATTGTCACATGTGCTCCGCCCGTGCCAGGGATCTCCGTCCTCTTCTCAAACTCGAGTGGCACCAACCATTTACGATTGACTTTCAACTGCTGGCACACGAGATTGGCTGTCGCACGACTGCAGTAAATTGGACCGTGTCGCCATGAACCCGTAAGGCCAATGTAGTGGTCACTATGAAAGTGACTCAGAAAGTAAGCATTGCAGCCCTCGACAGCACCGTAGCGAAACGCGTCCACGCATATTGAGAACCCGGGCATGATTTTGTAGAACGGACAGGTCCGTTGATATGCCTGCTTGCCTCTGGATGCCACTTCATTGGCTGCTGCTGCTGCCCAGGCGCTATCCTCCGCATTTCCAGCCATGAGCTTAGAGAAGGCTGACCTGGCCCCAGCCTCGCCGGAAGCGTAAGGATCACGTTGTGCGGGGCGAGCAATCGCTGCCCGGTCCGAACGAGTCAGTGCTTTCGATGGCGGTTCGGGTTCAAGCTTGACTTCGGGATCTGGTTCGATCTCAGGCTCAGACTTGACCGCAGGATCGGATTTTGGCTGTATTGTACTAGGCTTGCCATCTAAGCAGTCATTGACGTGCACCGAGACATCCTGAACAAAACAACTGTTACCATACTGCCCATGCAATTTGTAACCGGAACAACTTACAGCTTCATTCAGACCAGTCAAACTAGTCTGACAGATCGGACAAATGGGCACTTCACAGCCAAACGTATTTCCGTCGTCATCCAGGCCATTACTATAATCCTCCAATCCAATCAACACCTCCTTCTCTTGATTATCATGTTCGTCGTCATCATCATTATCATTATCAAAGGGATCTAAGAAATTCTCTTCCCCTCGGAACTCGTCTTCCATATCGTCAAAATTCGTATATTCATCAGGTTCGGTGTAGCTCGTGGTTTCTCTTACCAAGGATGGTGGTGTCTCGACAGCGGGCGTCGGTCGTGTTTTAGCTGTGGGGTCTGCTTCCTCGGTGTCGACGGGCGATTCTGTCGCATTGGCAGTGGGCTTGTCTGTTAATGCGACCGATGGCCCATCCGCGTAATCACGGAACTTCTCCAGATCCTCTTCCTCCTCGCTATCGGATTCGTCGATGAAGGGACCACTAAGGTGACGGGATTTCTTCGCGGGCGCCGCTACCGGGGTAGCGCTGGCATCGGACGACTTCGCTCGTGCTGCTGCTGCTGCGTCATCGCCGGCGGCGGACGGGGAATCAAGCTTGCGTTTCTTGACGCCAGAGGATCCGTTCTCGTTGTAGCGGTCTTCTTCGGTCGCTGCTGTCGCTGGCGCCGGCGTTTCCGGCTCGCCTTCCCAGATATCATCGGGAGTCCTCGACCGTGCTGTCCGTTGCGGCTCGGGGGCTGCGTAGGTTGCGGATCGGTTCCGGTTTTTGTCCTCGAGAAATAGATCGCCTGCGCCGTTGCTGGCTGTGGAGCTCCCTTGTCTGCGCAGCGTCGGTGTGCTGCTGTGGCCATTGCTGGTCGGCCGGGCGGTCTTGGTGGCAAATTGAGTGATCCGGGGTTGGGTGGAGGTGGCTTTGGGCGGTCCGTCGGCTTTTTGGAAGAAGTTCAGCAGACTGCCGTTGCGCTTCGCGGGAGTCTGGGATTTGGCGCCGAAGGGGACCTTGGCTGGCGTTGAGCCTTTTTTGGTGGCGGATCCTGCCATGCTGCTGTCGGTCCCTCGAAGATGCGAGAGGGTCTATCGGGACGAGAGGGAGGTGTGGTACGGTTATTGGGTCAAGGATAGGTCAATTGGCATGTTCGTATATCCGAAGTATGGAAGAGAGTATAGATTTGGATATATAAGAAAATCTGTTGCATTATCTAGCAAACAGGAACGACTGTAGGTTGAAGCTCAAGGACGGAAAGCGGAAGGTGAAGGCGCGGCGCGGCGGGATCCCGTCCTCGACGATTTTCACGACACGAAGTCACGTGCATTCAACCCATTAAATGATGGCTTCAACTGTCTCAATGATGTCAATCATGGTTGGACAAAGAATCAATAGATATAACTGAATTCATGTTCAGATTAGACTATATGTGTGCATGTTGAGTTCTCATTACATATCCTTCAAATCAGAAGAGCTCAATTAGTACAAGATACTCTAATCTACAATATTCCTCCCTTTGGTCATGCCTGAATGTCAGTAATGCGGGGTCACCCTCCTGCTGTGCATAAGACCTTTATGTAAGCAGTGCGACTTTAGTCCTGCATAATTTATGTCTTCGTTCCTAATGGAGAATGACCGCCGAGTATGCTAGGGTTAGAGGTCGAAGGGATTCGATCGAATATAAATGTTGACTTGCGACATAAGCGAGATAGTCATGTCTGATGCTGGAGCTAGACCTGGAATAAGTATCTGTCGATTAAGCAGGTTGAGACCAGACCGCCGACTGAATCATCAAGCACTTTCCGCATGTTGAAGAGCCAAGAGCATGGGTCCTCCAAGTATAGTGCTGATGTTGGGCCTGTGGCCGCTGTGTGGCAAGCCTGTGCCCTGCCCGCATCAATGCCTGCAAGCTCACTCCAAACATGGTTGAAGGAAGAGATATTCGAAGATAAAGTCAACCCGACACTCATCTCCCATGACCAGCATCACCCCGTCCGCATTCCCTTCTTTGTCAACGTATCATCATCACCGTTGCCTCCCACCCTTGGGCTATCCTTACCCGATCCTCGTCACCACCATACACACCGCAATATTAGCTCCATCACCAGGCCAGCATGCATAAAGCACAAAGCCCTCTATCTCCCACGAAACAGTGCAGCATGACATCATGATAGAATTATAAAAAGAGAAACGTAAAAAAAAAAAAGTGTAGACCGTGCCATAACATGATGCGCCCTTTAGGGAAAGGGGCCAAAGCATAAAGCCCGGAGGATATGTCCTCTCGAGGTCCGATATCAATCCAGATCCTCCCAATTCCGCTTCGAATCCTCCCACTGTCGCTCAAGTCATCTCTCTCATCTGTCCCGCTTATTTGGCCTTCCCAGCCTGGTTCGCAGCTTCTATATCAGCGGACAAAAGAGAATTAGCGCACTATTCAATGAATCTCGGATCGATATGTCTGCCTCTTGGGCATTCCCGGCTCGGAGCATGATCGCGTCCCCTTTTCTCGAAGCTCCCGCAAAATAATTGGGGGGGGGAGGGAACTCACCCCTCCTCGTCGCATCCTCCAACAGTCCAATATCCACCTCCGACCGCGGCAACATCACATAGCGCACCACACTACCCCGAATGAACATGTTCTTGACCGACGACAGGTGCGGATATTTGTCCAGGTCGAGGACATCGACATTGTCGAGCTTGATGTTCAGGTATTGGTCGACGGATTTGAGGGTGCCGCGGATGCGGATGTCGTTTTTCAGCTCGATGGTGACGGTCTGATTGGTGAGGGTTTTGAAGAAACTGTTTTGGGATACGGTGTTAGTAATTTATTGACGTGATGGAGAGAGTGAGGGGGTAGCGATAGGTGGGTAGCGGCGCGCAGGAGCCATTTACCTGAAGAAGAGCATGATTGCGGTCGACTAGCTTGTCTGTCTTGCGTGTGGGGGAGGGGATGTTCGGCGCAATTTATCGGGGGTCAATTCAGCATGTGAGGAAGCAATCTGGGTCGCTACCAACAGGAGACAGAGATGGGATAAATACAGAAGCTCTTCCGGGAGCTTTGAGACAAGAGAGGAGAAGAAAGAGTCGAGTTATGAGCGAATTGTATAAGTCCTGTGCGGGTAAGTTGATTGATACTGTCGGGTGTTTCTGCGATTATCAGAGCCGACACGTGAGGCAGCTATCGCTTCGATGACTCATTTCTTAGTAAGCCTTACTGTTTCACCCACGCCTCAATACATCCTACTTTCTATACAATCACTTGAATATAGGGTACTTGTCGAACAAGCCATGCATATACGAAGACTGGGTTGCTTGCTCAATTTCTTTGGTCTATTAGAGGGTGTGTGGTTGAGATGGAATTTCGGAAATTGTTCAAGCCCAACCGCGGCCTCTCAACATATAAAATGTGGCGACACTCAATCTTTCTTCCATAGCATGCTCCTGCATAGGACAAATATGATACGTGACCAAACAGGCAACAAGTATCAGATGCACAGCATACCAGCTGCAGCTGACTCAAGGACATACACAAAGGGAATTTCCCAATATCATCACTCTTCGCTCGAGAGCGTCATGGCCGGAAGAAACCCGACGGGAACCTGTTCAACCAGACCATACCCAGAGATCATTCCACCGTCTCCATCAAAACCATTGACTTGAATATAACCCTCGTATGTAGGCGAGAGCCCCGTTGTATCACAAAGCTCCTGGTCCGGTCGCACGCTTGAGATCGACAGCGTAGTTCCATCCCAGAGGGTAACCACCCAGTCCAGAGGGTAAGTAGCCTTCGAAACCGGCGAGGTCCAGGTCCTCCGAGATGGGACAAACGCAGTGACGGGCAGGACCTGGTGAATGCCCGGACGGTGGCGGGCCGTTGCAAACTGCGTACGGCGATGGTCGGTGGTGTCCCACACCCAGATCGACAGTTTGTCGGCCCTGCCGGCGGGCGCGTTGTTGTTGTGGGAGTTGTCGTCAAGGTGCACTTCAAACCACGTCCAATTGGCCTTGTTGGCCACCTTCGCCAGTGTATTCGGCCACATTAACTGCCGGTCGTACCAGGTTAGGGACCGCGTAGGATCAATGGTCAGTCGGGACCCGTTGACGACGAAGCTGCCCAGCGTGAGACCGGCAGGCATGGACCATTCGTGGGTCAACTCGGAGCCCCATTGGAACAGACCGGTGCCGCCGTTGAGTATCACAGGCGTAGAGAGATGGAATCGTATGTCGAACTCCACGCCCTCGACGGCACTCCAGGTGCGTAGTTCCTGGAGTGGATCGTCGTCATTTGTCGTGTGGAAGCCATACTGCTCAAAGGTGATGTTGAGAATGCCACCGCTACTCAGACCTGGATCTGTAAGGGGGCCAGTTGCGAAACGCTCGAATTGGCGATAGAAGCTCGGATCGGTGACATCAAGGATGGAGCCTCGGTACAAGCCAGCGTTCATCAGCAAACATTGGGAGACGATCAAGTAATCATGATTGTTAGATGCATGAACGTAGGAGGATGACCACCATGAGTTTGTGGTATTAGGAACAAAGCTGTTGGACGTTGAAAGGTTCTGGATCATAGGCAGGGGTAGATTCTGTCGACGGTCCCGGAGTCAGTTGAAGAGCACTAGTGCTTCGTGCCTGCCAGCATACCAGAGTTTCCTCCAATAAACCGCCTGTTTCGGCCCTAAACCCCAGGACTCCTGGAATGATGATTGCGAGCACTGTGGACTTCATTGCTATGGGGATCGGGAAAGCGTGCAATGCTCATGTCGAAATCCTGTCCAAACTTGGAATAGAGCTCGAGAAAGCCATGACAGGTATATATGAAACAACCAATCCTCTTATGGGGAAGTTACGCAGCAAGGCCATCGACATGAAGTGATACACGACGGGACTTTTATTCTCCATCGCCAACCGGGGGAAACCCGGGAATGGTGATAGAAGATCGCAGGCAACATGTTGTGTACTCCCATCGGCGAGTATATACACCAACCACAAGCAAGCCTCTGCAGTCTCCCACGCTGGTTTTTGTTCCTCGAGGAAGCACAGCACAGCTCGCCGAATGACACTGTATCATATTGCCAGGGACCTTGCTGGTAGGGCAGAAGAGCGTGCGCCCGAGATCTCTATAAACGTCAATAGCAGTCCTTATTGCAGCGTTTTCTTCTCTCCACTCACCTCGATCTCAGTCACACAGCTTATTCTAGCGCATAGGCAGCACAGGGAGTAACGTGCCTGGAAACAACCCAGATCGGCAGGATGCGCAAGGTTGGCTAATGAGTGAAACAAATCCAGGCTTGTCGAAGGTGTTTCCTGTGATCCATTGCAGGCTTCTGCCCTCTCCCCCCTCCTTGCACCCCTCCTCCCCACTACGCTGTTTCCCTGAAGGTAAAAAGTCCATCATGGGGCCAAGGACACCAGCACTGAGCCTGACACCAATAATTGCAAATGTGAGTAAACATGGACCACTTTACTTGCACCGGGAGTGCAGCACTATCTTCACACTGTAAGTTGGCAGGAATAAGCTTTGGAGGACAAAGAACATGACATCATCACAGCCCGGATGGTCTAGTGGTATGATTCGCGCTTCGGGTTCAGCACTTGAATATGCGCGAGGTCCCGCGTTCGAATCGCGGTTCGGGCCCATTTGCCTTTTTTTTGCCGGTTTCCCTTTCTACACGAACAAAGTGGAAAAGGCACTCTACTTTTTATTTACCTTCTTCCACTGCCTCGCCTCTGAGCGGCGAGACAGGCGCCCGGCCAGAATAATGATCATGAGGCAAAAACACGGTGGATGAAGACACCAACTAAGGCGCTGTTAACGCCACCGGTTGTAAAGCAGGCGCTCGATTTTGATAAGCACGGCTGGAAAAAAGGCAGCAGATCCAGCAAAAACAATAGTAATGATTGATTTGCCAAGAAGCAAAAAGGTAAGTGGGCCCGAACCGCGATTCGAACGCGGGACCTCGCGCATATTCAAGTGCTGAACCCGAAGCGCGAATCATACCACTAGACCATCCGGGCCATTGATGTCAGTTACATCTGGCATCACGTTATAACACCTTTGCAGTCACGCTGCGCCACGCTGCATCCCACCCACGCTTTTCACTTCTCTCGCATTGACATCTTCTTCCATGCAACGCAGCCTGAGCTGCTCATGCCTCTAGCCCCCAATACACGGTACAAAGAGATATGTCACACTGGTTGCAATCGTCTTTAACATCTTGTTATTATCATCTCCCACTCCTGAAAATGATCGCCAGCGCGCATCTCGATTGAGCACGCGCAGGGTTCCCGGGAAAGCATATATCCCTGGGGGACAGTAGCTCAAGCAGCGAAGTTGTAATTGTTATGCCTAGTACCCTAGCACGCCTACTTGTAGACTCTGCAACTACACACCTGGTGCAGCCACTGTAGACAACTTTTGTTTCAAGTATACGAGAATTGGAAGCCTCCGAAGAGGAGATTTTATTGTTAAGGCGACCATCATCACTTCCTGTCAGTGTGGCTATAGGCTAATTGTCAAACATCGCTTCGGAATTAGGACAGATAGAGTACCCATCCCGAACATTCTCTTCACATCCAACCATCAACACGTCATACATAAGAAAGCACGCCTGAAGCTCACCATCGTCATGAAGAGGTTCCAGGGGCACGATTATTACATTAACTTTCGCCGACCAGGGCAGATAGGGGGTATCAAGAAGGACGGATGAACCTCCTGGGTTTACATCCAAAATAAAAGGAAAGAATCACATGCAAGGGCTCCTCACCCCCCTGCCCTTCGGTTGACCACCACGACGTCTCTGGCGCCGTGGTTTCATCGCCCATCCGGATAAACAGGTCCAGCCTGCTCCGTTCTTGCGGCCCTCATCGAACACAGCGCCTACTCCTGCGAGTAACTTCTCCCGCTCGATTCCGATCTCTTGCTGCAGCTTGACACACCACTGTTCCCAAAACCATCCGCCTAGTATCCCCGTGATACTGGCAATGTCAGCAGTACTACCGACAGGACCTTGTATCGCTTCGTAATCCCCAGCAAGGCTCTTGACTCTCGGATCCGGCGTCTCTCTGGGTGGCTCAGTCTTGGTGGGCTCGATCCCCATTGGTAGGAAGGCCCAGGCTCGCTTGATGTCGGTGAAGTGCTGCTGTACGCGTCCAAGCCAGCTTTTGGTCGGCATCGGATCATATCCTTGGGCCTGAAGATTGGCAACGAACTCCTCCGAGATGGCAGATCCCTGAGGACCAGCGTGTAAGATCTCAGCATCTAGAACGAAGTACTCCAGATAGCCACCGGGCTTGAGACAGCGAAGGCACTCTTTCAGGCACAGATCGTATTCGTCAAGGAGCTCTCCGCTCGGGCATTTTTTCTTCAGCAGAGCTGGCAACGAACGAGCTGAGATCACATCGAACTTGTTGTCGGGAAAGGGGAGCTTCCACAGCTGTGAAACAGAAACATGTCGGTGGTTGGGAGGTCCTTTGATGCCGCGATTGACCTCCTGGGAACCAGTGTAGACCGTTGTGACTTTGGCATCAGGATAGTCATAGGCAAATTGCCACGCCCATTCACACGACGCATGCCCTCCAAGATCCAGAACCCGAACACCGCATTGATTCGCATTTGTTGACCTTTTTGGCGAACGGCTGGAGCCACGAAGCTTTCTTGATGCAGGGCTGACAAGCATGCGACCGCCATTGAGAAACCTCAGTGCATCCATAGCCCACATAGCCTGACGGATCTGCGACAGCACCAACTGCTCTTTCTCAACTATGGAGAATTGAGCTTTTTGCACCCGAGCCGAGTCGAGTGTCGAATTGCGAGGTGCCATCGAAAAGGGTCCTTTGTATGCAGGACGTTGAGTAGGAATTAACTCGTACTTTCCCGTCAAACAGTCAACGTGTAAGCCGGGCATACCGACACGAACAGACTGGACAGCATCAAAGCGAGCGTGTTGATGTACATGAATATCCTTGATGCTTGATTGATCGCGTAGAGCTTGGAATCCTCTCCAATAAATCGAATCTTTACTTGCCAAAGCGGAAGGTTGCAAACTGGGGGCAGCGGGAAGAACTCCAGTGAATTTGGCTGATCTCTTGCGGGCAAGAGAGCTTGGAGCTTGTTGACTAGGCTTCTGACGAGCCTCAATCTCGCTGCCACTTTCCTTGTCGATGGAATTGGCGGGGTTTGTCTCGTTCAAGGCTGCTAGGTAAGAAGCTTGAGCTGCCAGCCAAACACTGGTCCTATCCAAGCCTGACATCGCTTTCTTCTTGAGTTCAGCTTCATAGTCTTCATCTCGCTCGGCTTGATCTGTCAACGGAGCGGGCATCTGATCGTGATTCATCTCCTCAGCAACCGTGCTCACGGGGCTCCTCAGCGTACCAAGAGGCTCAATGGCATGCTCCGCGGGAATCCTAATAGCAGTTGGTGGACCGCTTGGATCATATACTGCTGTTAGCTCCTCGTCCGTCGCTCTTTCCGGATAATCAATGACCTGCTCAACAATCTCTCCCTCAGTGCGGGTAAAAGGTAGCTTGTAGAACCTTTCAGCAGTGGCAGAGTTGGGTGGTTTGTTTCCGTTCGGGATCGCCCAGGTATGGCGGGCACGTGGGGCTAACGAAGCAAAGAAGCCACCTGGAGACGGAATGCTCAACCTGCTGAAGCTATAACCGGAAAGCTCAGAAGCAGGAGTTACACCATCAGCACTACGAGGGCGTTGAGGTAGAGTCTCAACTTGCCACATCTCGTCGTTGTTATCGGATGATTCGGCCCAAGGATCTGGCACTCTATTGAGTGACAGGTGCCGTAAAGTTTCCAAGGCATCTTCGGGAAGATGTACTCCTGTGTCCGACGGCGTATCTCCCCGCACCAAATCCGGTTCCATGTCCATATCGAAGGCAGGCGGCGTCATTTGACCGGGGATGCGAGGAAACCGGCCCAAGACCTGAGCTAAATCTTCGCTAGCAGCATCGAAGGCGATCTCAATGCTCTGCACATCTGGATCTGCATCGAGTGCGGGGAGGTCAACGTCTTCCACATCTTCCAAGTCTGGTCGAACATGAACTCCTGGCACGACCCAGTCCTGATCAGGGATTGACTGTAGATCTGGAGTAGCCGGAGCGCTTAGATTCGACACCTGATCCGAGGATATACTTCCATCCAGGGAGGGTGGAGCATGCACGGCAGGAACAGAACGACCAAGCATTGACAGAGCTGCCGGAGATACTGGTATCTTGGAAGGTGGCGTCGGAGGAATGGGGGAGCTTTTGCAAGCACCTTGCAATGATGGCCACACTGGCGAAGGTGGAATGGCCAAACTCGGATAGCGCTTACGAGAAATTGGCGATAGCATGGAATTTCGCGTCGTTGGAGTTGTCAAACTCGTCGGCCGAGTGCTGGCAAATGAAGTACACTCGTCACTCGTTACCGACTCCTCGTCTGTGGCATCGTAGAGGTCTTCAAAGGGTTTCATCTGCTGTTGCCACTCCGTGTCCGAGCAGGACGACACAGAACCGGCAGATATCGGTGAGAAGAATCGATTCGGCCTCAGAAACCCTGACGATAGACCGCTAGTCTTCAACTTCAGTCGGGGAATTGTTGCAGGTTTCTGAGAAGCGGATGCGACCTGCTCCTTCTGTACCGAGTATTGTGTTTCGCGATAGTCCTCCGGTATAGTATCGAGTCGAGTCCCCCGGACCTGCCGTAGGGGTGGACAACCTGAGGCGGTAGAGTACTGCATGTCGGCCATAATGCTCAAGTAGTGAGATATGCTCCCAGGTTCTAAGGTTTCAATTACAGTAGGTGGTGCGAAGACAAGATCAAGGCTAATACCAAACCATCAACTCCACAAGAGCCTTCTATGGGTATCTCAGCTGCGTTCAACACCGATCAACAGGTCGACGAGTACGTGATTAATGACAGGAGCGCTTGACGGCCCAGCTTCCAGAGCTTAAGGCACGAGCAAACGATGCAAAAAGAAATGAAAAACGAAGCTATAGCCAAAGAGACAAGAAAAGGTTAGGTGAAGATCATCATCTTCGATCGGTAGCGCAGGACACTGATAAATAGACCACCGAAAGGAGGGGAAGGCGAGAGATCGGACGCGGTGCTCTTCACACCTGCCACCCAAGATGCAGGAACTACTGCATCACTGTGCACAAAGCACCCGAAATCCCTGCAGGTAGGCAGCCTGAAGATACTATCATTGGTGCTGGTCGAGTCGGCGCTTCGGCAAGGACGAATCTCAGTGGGCGACCATCTGTGATGGGCGACAACAGAGTGGTCTGGGAGCTTCATTGTGCCAATCAGATGGTGCAAGGTTCTTGATGCCTGTACAAAATGACTGTCGGCGAACAGGAGCTCTGGAGTGGTGAGGGGAGCTTCGCATGATTGGCGGGTTGTAAGCGCCCGGGGAGGCTATCTTTAGAAAGGAAGCTCCGGACTATGCAGTGGTCAGATGGTGCCCAGTGATAGTCGGAGTTCGCTTCAAGCGATCAGTGTCTTCAGCAGACCCGCATTTAATGAACTCGTGATGACATCCAAGAACTGAGGAATGCGAAGGATATTATGATTCTGCCGAGCGTCAACTCAAAATCTGGAAAGCGAAGACTGTATTCCGTACGAGTCCTCTAGGTAGGCTGGACTTGACGCCCTTGAGGAGCCCTGTCGTCCGACCTATCAGACATCGCGACGCACAATGAAAAGCACGACATCCCCACCCGGGCGAGAAGAACAAGGACGATCCTGGCTCGGACAGTTGAGCAGGAAGCGCTGGGGAGTCACCCGACCGACATTGTTGAAGGGAAGATGCAGATGACGAAGTGGCATTGGGATAAGGAAAAGAGGAAAGTATGGAGCAAGTAATCGGGCCCCGTCCGACACCTTTCCTAATTTGGAGCCTGACATTTGAATCCACTAAGTTCAGGCAGTCAGGCGGTCAGGTGGTCAGGCAGTCAGGCCTCGACCTGGCTGCAAGCTGGCGTACCCAGTAGTCTGCCACGTGTAATCCCCTGCCCTAGCCCTTATCGGCGTGATATCATTCCCAATCGGGCTCCCCGGACTGACGTCGACCGAAGCAGGGAAGATGATATCAACGACCACCAACAATTTTTGCCCGGATGGAGCTGATTGAGACCCCTACTACGGAATTCATCCTCGAGTAATGGCCGGTTTATCCACACGGTTTTTTTCCCTTTCTTGCCGGAGGCTGTCAGAAAGTTCCAGCATTGATTCAATCGATCGCTAGTAGTCTGTCATAATTCCGCTTTATCTCTTGTAGAAGTGACAGAAAATTAAGGACATCTAAAGCTAGCCCCTCTTCTTCCCCCCCCCACACCTCCCCTCATACGTACTATTTCCCCTCCTCCTTGTATACCGTGCGATTCTTAAACCTCTTTCTTACCCACCTCTCTCTTTCCCCCCCTCTCTCTACTACCACCCCCTCATTCAATTGAACGATCCCAACCAACAACAACCACCATGTGCCCCCCCGCGATCATTGCCCCCTCCATTCTGAGCGCCGACTTCGGCACCCTGGGCAGCGAATGCTCAACCAAGATCGCCCAGGGCGCCGACTGGTTGCACGTCGACATCATGGACGGTCACTTCGTCCCCAACATCACCTTCGGAGCCCCTGTTGTTTCTGCGATCCGATCCCATGTCGCCCGTCCCACGGAAGCTCACGGCAAGGGAACATTTGACTGCCACATGATGATTGCGGAGGTGAGTTAGTCGAGGTTGTTGAACCAAACCTATCCCCAAAACACCTTGCCAAAGGAGCAAAACAATCAGCCCCCCCCCCTCCCTAAACAGCCCTACCTACCCTTTCCCCCCCCTCGAACGCAAATCAAGATCATCCCATCACTAACATCTACCCCCGAAAACACAGCCCCACAAATGGGTCAAAGAGTTCCAAAAGGCCGGCTGCGACCTCTACTGCTTCCACTACGAAGCCGCCGTCTCCTCCGTCGCGGCCACCGAACCCGCCGACAAGACCACCACCCGCCACACCTCCCCCAAGGAGCTGATCCGCTACATCCACGAGCAAGGCATGCAGGCCGGCATCGCCATCAAGCCCGATACCCCCGTGGATGTGCTCTGGGAGATCCTGGAGACGGAGGATGCGAAGGAGAAGCCCGATGTGCGTTTGGTCCCTACCTTGCCATGCACCTTTGAAAATCTCCCTCCACCATAAGCCCTCAACCCCTTCAAACTTTTTATCCATTCTCCCTCCCTCCAACAACCGCACCCACCCCCCGCAACCCAAAATCGCTCACCCAAGACTAACACCCAAGAACAAAAACAGATGGTCCTCGTAATGACCGTCCACCCGGGCTTCGGCGGCCAGAAGTTCATGGCCTCGGAGCTGCCCAAGGTCAAGGCCCTGCGGGAGCGCTACCCGGACCTCAACATCGAGGTCGACGGCGGGTTGGGCGTGGGCACGATCGACCAGGCGGCCGAGGCGGGCGCCAATGTCATCGTCGCGGGGTCGGCGGTCTTCGGCGCCCAGGATCCCGCCGACGTCATCGAGAAGCTGCGCCAGGCGGTGAACAAGTATAGGAAAGAAGACGAGTAAATATTACCTTCAATCCCCCCCCCTCCCTCGGTGTTGAAATAGAAGTCGTTTGGCATTATCTTTCTCTCTTGTGTGTGGATATACCATTAGCATAATGTTTCTTCTCTTGTTTGAATTGGGTTTCGAGTTTCTAATTGTTTATTTTTTTTTCCTGGGTTCTTACTTAGTTCTGTTGCTGGAACCCGTCGCAGTATGCTTTGACCCGGAGATGTGGAAGTAAAGAGGTATGAAAGTATAATAGGCGAAAATCCTACTAGAGCTACGGTGTGAAGGCCTGGAGGCATGCAATTGATGACCATCTGCAATTTCTGTCGATGATAACGACGAGACAATGTCAAACATACAATCTCGGAATAAGAAAGGGGAAACAATAAGAGAATAAAGTCTGGTATCTGTACATGGTATGTAAAAGTTTCAAGCGATCATGCAGAAGGTGACACATGCACAAAGGCGGGAGCTAAAATGCTATCGTCCTGCGACAGAAACCCACAAATAAACATTCGCCTGGTCTACTGGCTATCCTTGGTGGCTTCCGCCGTCGCCGATGCCGCCTCTTTCTGCTCGCCAACCTCGGGCTCTTCCTCGATGGTCTCCTCTTGGTTGGCTCCGGCCGCAACATCCTCACGGAGAGAGTTCAGCAGCTCCTGGTGGCCACCGGAGATGGACTTGCGCAGATCATGGGCGACCTTGGCCTGCTCCTCGGGAGAGGTAGCCGAGACAATCGACCCCCGATGGTGCTCGACCACAGCGGCATCCGCGCGAATGTTGGCAGATGACTCTGCAGCCAACTCGGGAACTACCAACGGCGGTCGCTTGGGTCTAGTCTCCTCAGTGGCCGGTATCTCGATAGCCTCGGCTCCAGTTGCAGTGTCTTCCTTCCCAGCAGGAGTGTCCACGCTCGTCGTCGCAGCAGGCTCGGTCGGCTTCTGCTCGGTGGCAGCAGCAGCTGAAACGTTGCTGCTGTTGATTTTAGTATTGTTCTTCGCGTCGCCGTTCGTGGGGTGACCCTTGGCCTTGGCAGCAGCTTCCTCACTGGCCAGGCGCATGGCAGCCGTGGTAGACTCGTCCTTCGGAGTCTCCTTTGCAGGGGGGCTCTGGATCTTGATGGTGCTTTGTTTCACGGCGGGAGTTTCGGTGGTAGGTGTAGAGACGGTGGGGGTGGTGGATTCGGATTGCGCGACCGTGCCAGAGGCGAAGATGCTATCCATGGGTTGGACATTGTTGATTTGCATTCTGAGCTCGCCATATTCGTTCCAGTCTTCGACCTCTTCTAGATCCTATAGTATGAGACGATTAGTCTTCAGTCGGTTGTGTTTAGTAGATGGGTGGGAGAGGGGGCAAAGAGGGGGGGAGGCGCGTAATGCCCGCCACCCCCCGCGGTGGCCAGAAGCTATGCGGGGTACATACCCCAATAACGCTGCCAAATTTCACTAGGCCCGGCAGCTTCTTGCCCTTGGCGCGACGACCCCAGAGCTTGCGGGCTACATCGTTGGTTGCGACATCAATGGCCAGGAATGGTAGCTTGTTGGCTTTGAGAATCCGCTCCAGGGTTGCCGTTGCGGTGACGATGTGCGATGACCCCGCAGTAAGGGAGGTGAAGAGGTATAGATTGTTGTCTGAGTCTTCGAACATGGTGGAGAGGAAAGCGAAAGTCGGGAAGGTCTGTTTCTAGGTACGCGTGTCGATAGAAGCGAGCTGAGCTGAGAGTATGGTGGTGGTGGTGATGGTGGATGATGCTGAAGGGAAAGTTGCGCAGGAGAAGAGAAAGATGATGATGATCGTTGCTGTCAATGAAGTGGAGGGTCCAGCTTGCCCGGTTTCCGCTTCTGGGACTGAACTGTCTCCGCTTTCCCTTTTCTTCAAGGTTCTCTTTTTCCCCCTTTTACTCCAACAACTGGACTCAAACGCAAACGCTTTCCCACCTCCTATCAAATTATTTCCCTTCTTTCACCGCCGCGGTACCGTACAAACCGAAAACTGAACCAAACTTGAAGGCTATTCCAAGTTGCTATGACGTGGCTCACGAATTTGGCCCCTTTTAACAAGATCACGTGGTGCTTTGGACCTTTCACCCTTTTTGTTCGAAGGAGGCCCCTTTTCTCTTTTCAGGTTATTGAGGTAGATCAAATAGATCAAAGAATTAATTTGAAACCGAAAAGGACAGATTAGACTATTTGTTGCGTGAACACCAACTAGTCGATCGATCGATCATATCAGTTCATCTATTTTGATGGAGAATAGCGCCAGGAAGAATTAGGAAGTCGGAGGTAGGAAAAAGAAGGCAAGGGATGCCCAGTCGACTATATATCGCAATTCGCATTCTGATTTAACCCACCTCCTCGAACTCAAGGCAAGCTTGGCCGATTGTGGGGGATCTGTCACCGTGTAGTGGCAAGTTGACGTCAGTCCGATGGCTTTCCGGACCGCCATCGGACCAAGAGCCATCAATTAACCACTTGCCGTAGGTTGTTTGGTTGTTGCGTCGCAGCGCTGGGAGCTCTCGCTCGAATTGATATGCTTTTTGTAATCGTCATCTGGCTTCATTGCCAATCTACAAGGTTACTTGTCTTGTATATAAGTATATCGAGTGCGAGCAAGTGCTGCCCCATCGTGCAGAAATATGTCCCATCACTTCAGAGACTTCGCCCTTGATGTCATTCAGACCCATCACTGACTCCTCTGGTCACTGATTGTCCGCTTTTTTGGTTACCCATGACTTCATATCCAATGACTGATCGTCGGTAGCTTCCAGCATGTGCATCTCATCATGCAAACCTAAGACTTCAGAGCAAATTACTGATCGTAAATACACCACTCGGTCTCGGGTAAAATTCAACATCCGCAGACTTGCCTCGACAGTTCAATAACCTGGCGGCAGATGCGTTTCTGTTCATTCTGACCCTGACTCCGTGGAAGGCTGCTGATTGTCGGTCATCCCTGTCCCTGTAGATGACAAGATGGGATTTGAATCCCAGAAAGTTGATGTTGCATCTGGAAAGTTAGCAGGGATTGCAGGTTCTGTGCCACCTCGAATGTGAATGATGGCGCTGTGCGAAGTGTCACATCCTACAACGTCCCACAGGATGTTTGGCGCCCGCGACGCTATCTGTACATGACTCGTTGCGCAGTGTCACGATTCAGTGGTTAGTCCAGATATCAATCGACGCCGGGATTGACCTTGCGAAGAACAAGATGAGGATGTCACGCGATCTTCGGATGTGCTCAGTAGCTGACTTGAGGTATATATAGGAATTCCCTAACAGTGGCCGTCAATTGCAGTACAACCTGAAATGAGTTGATATGACCCTTCAGAATTCGGCACCGATCACATTTTTCGAGGCTTCGACATGGTCATTGAATTTTGATGCATTCATGCGACTGCAGAATGGTGTTGTCGGTAGAAGTGCCATTTGAAGCTCGGTTAGAAGCCTCTCGCACCTTTGGTCCATATTATGTCAAGATAAAAGACTCGCTCGATGGGACCAGGATGACTTGCTGTATTGCAGACCGTCAACCGAGAAAATTTGTTTGCAGTGCAAAGGACACCTGAACTCACGCCGTATCGACAGGATGTTATCGATGCACTTGAGAGTCGACCACAGCATACCACTGTCTATTAAGATCGTCTATCCACTCAAAGCTGGGGGCACAAAGTACCGACAATCGCCTTAGAATAGCTCAAGGAAAGCGGCAATCACAAGTGCTGTACCGTGCATTGGCTTCCTATCGAATGCCTCAGACAAAAATGCTGCCTATGTGGCCATCGCCACGACAAATCATGTAGCGGGGCCTACGGTTGCCGAAGCGGCGTTTCACATATGCTCAGACATAAACATAGCCACACCGAGGCCGAAGCGACAGAATCTCGCAGCTCACTGCTCATCGAGGCGCAAGGCTTAGCAGGACTCACAAACAAGAGGCCAGCTCCAGTTCACTCCGTCTGATCAGCCGCGTCATCGGCGTATCCAGTGATGTGAATCGATGGAGCAGGGAGCAGAGCCTCTGGGCGCCGTGACGGCCAGCGGTCATAGCACCCATTCAGACCGAGCCAGCGGGACGGAGACTGGGAGTAAGTGGCTGACTCAAGCGCCATTCTAGAACGAAGGTCTTGAAGTGACGCCCGGACAGGCTCGGTGGTGGTGGTGGTCGTAGTAGTGGTGTCGGGTACAATGAGATCTTTTGGGAGAAGACATCACAAATCACACATCACACATCACACCACAAAGTTGGTTACTTTGCCCACCTGGCTTGGTAATCGGCACGGAGTGAGCGACAAGGCAGTCGGTCAGCCAGTCGATGGACATCATCAGTTCAGGCATCCGCGGGCTTAGCCAGTTGGTAGCTGAAGTACTTGGGTACTGTACAGTACTTATTCCATCCCTGCAGTCTTCCACTTCGGTTTGTCTGACAAACCGTGCTTTAGATCTGAGCTTGTGGTCCTGGCTGTACAAGGATCTATGTTAAGGCATCATAATCACAATTTTCGTTTGGGCACGCGGGAAGTTTGGGGGGGTGGGTTGGGGGAGAGAGAGAGAGAGAGGACTGAAGGAGATGTTGTCATGGGAGAGAGTTGGCAGCCATAAGCCTGGAAGGTAAGCTACCTCCACCCAGCTATGACCTAGATCTTCCCGATCAGACGACCCCCGTCAAAATCCATTGACTATGAGCAAGTAAATCAATCCAGTCCCTCCTTCCCACCTTCCCTCCGCTCTGGAGCCTCTCATTTCTAAATTTAACCTGACCTCATCCTGGAATTGTAGCCCTTCCATCATGAAACCAGGAAAATCGAGAACTTTCTTGCGTGCTACCAGAGTTGCATTTCTACTTCGTTATGGACAGTAGACTACTAATGCTGGAGGATGTGCATCCTGCATAGAAGCACCGATACTCGTAGTGAAGACCTACAATAGTTGATCCAAGTGTAAGGTCAATCAATCAGTGCCAGCCTATCATCCACCCCCCCTCTCCTTGTTCTTCTTCCCCCTTTCAGGGCAAAACTCGCCGATCGCACCCCAAAGCCGTCTGGCGGCCCCCGCCTGGCGGCGCCGATCGTCTTTGGTGCTTGTCGAATGGGAGTGCTTTCTTTCTTGCAGAGAACCGATGAGATAGCGTCATGTTATTTTTTCTCTACAGTACTATTTTTGTCGGGGCCATTGTTGTTCCTTCCTACTATTTACAGTATGGAGTAAGTGAGTGAGTACAGTACGCTGTTCCCACCTCTCTTCTTTTAATCGTGGTGTAGTGTTAGAACTGGAACTGCAACCTGATTACAGGGATGAAGAAAAAACAACACCAAATCGTAGTAGTTCTTCCAATCTATCTAGGTTTATCGGGCAGAAGACTGTGCCCGGCCGGAAACAAATTTCATGGGTTTGGCCTCTGTTGCTCCTGAATATAGTTTGCT